GACTGGCTGCTGCCTCATAGCTGCAGCAGCTGGGCTTGAGGATGAAGAAGCTGCAGTCTGTGCTGCAGCTGCTGACATACCACTTGGCGGTAAACCAAACTGAGGAACCAAGGGTCCTGTCATTGCTGGATACAATGGCGGCGATGGATATGCTGCTGGAGGCCAGAGATTGGGCTCGCCGGTTGTGGAAGGGACTGCTCTTCCCTTCCCCAGCACGGCACTCAGAATCTGGTCAAGGGTGGATTGGATGCCATCCAGTCCGCTGTCCATATATGAGTGCATACTCAACATGCTCCCCATGATGACCTTTCCCGCATCATCAAGGACTGAGTCATCTAACCCTTCTAACCCAGCCATATCATCCTCTCTGCTCTCCATTATGGTGTTTCTATTTCTAATCTTAGCTTCTTTTTCGGTAGCTTTCCTGAGTTGATTCTTTAGCTGTAGGCGGAGTAACTCTACTTGATGAAGCTCTATTGCTTCCGTAGTGGGTGGAGGTGGCTGGCTGTACTGCGAGCCCGCCATCTGACTGAAGGAGGGCCCTACACTTGTCCCACTAGAAGAGACAAAAGACATAGCGAAAGTTCCTGATGTCTGCTGACCTTGGGAGGTCGCTGCAGAAGTAGCCATGGCTTCAGCACTAGCTGCTGCTGCTGCTAATGCTCTGCCACTAATGCTCTGCCGCTAATGCTTGTTCCGCAGCTGCTGCTGCCTCCCTAGCTGTCTGCTATTGCTGGGCCCTTGCTTCGGCCCTGAACCTTCTATCGTCCCCTGGTAACAGAACCTGGTACACTACTGGAATCCTCTGTGTCCAGTCGTGTCCGTCTCCTATCATCAGCAGTTCCTTCCTCACTCTGTTGTCCGCTCATCAGCTATACAGACCACTGTCTGCACTAGCACCCTTGCTGGGGCCCACCGCAGCATGTGTCTGACCGATTTGTAAAATAAATAGAAGTAAATATTTATTCGGCAAGTCGCCCAGGCTACCGATCAAGTGGTGTCAACAGATTATACACAGACTGTGCAAATGATCTACTCCTACTTCGATCAGTTCTCGCACAGCCGCACTAGACAGAACTGGAAATGGTAGACTAGTACAGTTCTATTCTTTTGCTACCTGTCAGGTGTTAGCACTCGGTCACACCTCTATCAATCAAAAATAAAAATAAATCACTTGCGCAGTTGTATGCAGAAATGGAAATAATAATGTGTGCCTTCAAGCACCAATTGGAACCTTCCCTCCCCGGTGTTCAACGTTCCTGATTGCATCATCAAACAGTGGTGTCTATGGTTGCACAAAGGCCCACCCCTGTGCCCAGGAATCCGCTTGTGGCCAGTGCTGCCCTTTATTTATCCTCGCGTGCAATGAGCCTTGCACCGATGACCTGGCTGATCAAGAGGCAATTTAAGGACAGCCCCCGAAGTCCTAAGGAATTATTGAACGTGGCAATCAGGACGATGATCACAGCCAGGTATCAGATCCCCACCAGAGGTTCTTTATAGACGGTCTGGTACACATCTCGCATAGGACTGGGCCGTCCACATTCCCTCTACAGCGCAGCAAGAGCTCAAAAGACAAAGCAGCAAAGCATGCGTGCTCAACTCCCATGGGTTGGCTTGGTGACCGTGACCCGTGCTTCTCACCAATTGAGCCGACGTGCGTATTGATGACCTGTCATAGCCTCGGTACCACACACAATGGAATGGAGTGCCACCTCAGCCAAAATGCCTCTCCAAAAAAACTGGAGTCTCAGGGGAACCAGACCAAAGTGGCTGACGGCGCCAGCCAAAACTAGAACAAAAACCCGGCGCTGGCATTTCGGCAAAACGCGGTGCACGGTGGGAATACGCTTTGTACAACAGAGGCACGGATGTACTTGTGGTTAAAAAACAAAGAAGACCCTGCAGTGCCTATGCACCTTTTTGGAATTAATGTTAGGCTTCTGGCCTCAGGAACATCAGAAAGGAGCCACCCGTGGAAAGTGACCCGTCCGCCAGTGCAGGCTGTGCATGCAGAAATCCGCCAGGCCTGTGCCCTGTGGCAGTTGGAATGCAGGTGGGACGTAGCCACTCCAACTAACGAGAGGCGGTTAACGAAGACCCTAGTTTTCAGACAACTTGTCATGCCATTTATAACAAAATCCAAGGGTCATTTTAACCAAACTTGCCACCAAGTCATAGAGTAGAGACCATAGTGATTAACTGCAAAAAAAAAAAGAAAAAAAAAAAAACCCTATAAACCAACAAGGCAAAAGTGCACTTTCATGCAAATTTCACCAACATTCAGTTTCAGAAATCTTGAGAAATTTCAGAAATCTTAGCAGAGGAAATTCCAATGCTCCAAATAAGACCAAATTTGGTACATAAGAACCTTGAACCAAAACAAAAACAGGCAAAGAAAAAAAAAAACACCCTAAAACTCGACTCCCAAACCCAAATTTCAGTTTCGGACCTGTTAGTCAGGAGCTGAGCCTGGGGGGGGTCCCCGCTCACCATGTGTGGCCGACAGGCCCCGGGGACCTTGAGGAAGGTGAAGGAAGGAGAAGCCATGGTAGCTGCTCTGCTTGGGGCCACTCATAGCTGCGCCCAGGAGGAAGAAGGGGTGCTGATGCTGGGGCGATCAGGGGTAGAAGAAAAAGGTGGGTGAGGTGGACTTACCTGGCGATGGCCAAAGTGTACACTCAGGGTGGTCAGACTCTGCAGCGTTGTTAGGCGAGAGGGAAGTGGGCAAAGAGAAGAATGAGAGAGAGAGAGTAGGCTGTCCATTATGAGTGAGTGGGGAGGTAGTACAGGCGGTCACATCATTGGAGAACTACTACAGCTGTTGATACATTTTCTATGAGAGGAGGCGAGAAGTTCGCTTTCTTTATCAAGAGACTTCACTGGCAGTGCGTGTCCATTCGGTGTGCTCTTGGAACTCCACTTTCGACTTTGCTCATGTATGCTGGTTCTGCCTTGAGTGTTCTCATTGATGGTTCCTTGTGTTAAACCGCCAGTACACGGCCCCAGCCTTTCTGAAAAGAAAACTCGCCGCCTACAAAAATTTAGGAGGCGCAGCACCGTAGATAAATTGAATTGGCGTCGGGCGGCTCCCGAAATGGGCCCGCGGCCGACTGGTGGTTTAAGCTTCGATTCAAAACAAAAAAGGACCACCATCAGACCCCCTGGAGGCTGACATGAGCACAATAAATTTAAACATTAAACATTGAATAACAATGCTGATGCTAGAGTTAAAAGACATTTGGGATAAACACGGGACCTGTCTCGCTTGACTTTCCTGAGTTGTCCAGATTATGGACACGCTGCACAGGCAGATCTGTCTTCTTTAACTGTCAATGCAGCTCAGCTATACTGTGGACAAAGACTCAGACTACCGCCTTCCCCAGAAATAAAGTGAATGACTTGACAGGCATGAGCAGCAAGGGCAGGGAGCAGAAGAAGAAAAAGTGGAAGAGAAGAGGGAAAAAGGGAGTAGCGAGGAGGATTAAACGTACGTCAGCTTGTTTTGGGGGAGCTGGAGGGTTCATTGAGTTCATTGTGTGCCTGACATGGACTTCAGCAGTCATTTCATGGTTGAAGTTATGGTCTGCGAAGGCTGAATCCTCACTACCGCCTGAAACCTTTTCCCAAACCGTCGCCACCAGGTGAGCAGTGGGACACACGGGTATCAGAACCGAGTTCGGCCACGCAGCAGACTGGCTGGACTGACACATGCCAGAGAACACGAAAGGCATCTGCACCCTCTGCGCAATTTTCGAGAGGTTGCTCTCTGGGCTGCTTTCCACAAGGGTATCTGAACTATGGCGATTGAAGTCCCACTAAACAGCAGACTGACTGGACTGACTCATACCGAAGAAGGCGGAAGACCCCCTTACTCTTCCTGCCATTTTTGACAGGTTGCTCTCTGGGCTGGTTTTGCAAGTGTAGAGCCTTGCCGCGGAGAAGACTTGCTGGACTTGGGCTTGTACCAGTGAGGGGATAAGGCATCTTTACCCTTACCTGATGTTCAACATGTTTCTCTCTGGGTTGGTTGTTGAAGGTTTGAACCGATGTTACCTGCTGAACGTCCTCCTCTCCCTGCTGTTTTCAACGGGTTGCTCTCCGGGCTGGTTTCACAAGTGTATCAGAACCATCCCAATTCGAGTCCTGTTACTCAGAAGACTGATTGGATTGACGCTCGTACCAGTGAGGGGATATGGCATCCTTACCCGTATGTGGTGTTCAACATGTTTCTCTATGGGTTGGCTTTTGAAGGTTCGAACCCATGTCACCTGCTGAATGTGTTCCCTTTCCAAATCACCAGAATGCATTACCATTTTTTTTTAATGTGCATTGCTGCTCCCCTGAGCAGCAACTGCTGTCAGTTGCCTTCAGGTCAACTGAAAGTAGCCCTAGAGTATCTTTGAAGATCTTTTGGACATTTAAGAAATTTGGAATGATACAGAGAAGATTGGTATGGCGCCTGCACAAGGATGACAGACAGAAATCGGGCAGTGGGTTCAAACTTCAGATGGCCCAAAATTTTGGAAATTAACAAACAAAATCTATTCTTTATCCACTGAGTGCTTTCTCTTGCTCTAAGTCGACTAACTGAATCAACAAGAATGTTGGTGAGTCTGTTTTAGAAATGCTTTTGTAAATACATTTTTTATAAGTCCGCACTGTTCAAGGATCGAACACGTGACCTCCCTATGCGGAGGCAAACACTCAACCAAACGGTAAAGTGGACCGGGGTGAAAGTTAAGCCCCAAGAAGAGCACTTAACCCCACCCCAACACGGGTACTCGTTTCTCCCCGTGATCCGGTGCCGTATTGGGTGTTTAGAAATGCTGTTAGAGCTTTGTTACACCAAGTGCCGTATTGGGTGTTTAGAACTTGTTACAGAGGGTTTGTCTTTTATGACTTCATTGTTGTGGTTTGCTAACCGGATTGCTAATGGGAGAGATTGGGTATTTTGGTTCTGTTCCATCGTTTTTTTTTTCTTCCCTTGGTTCTTGCAGAACGGAATGAAGTTGAAAAGGTATCGAGGAATGGGATCACTCGAAGCCATGTCTAAAGGAAGTGACACACGGTACTTTGGAGACAAATCAGTACTCAAGGTGGATATTTTAATCATTCGTTTTGCTTGATTATTTTTGTTTTATAATTTCATAATTTTGAATTTTCATTTAATTTTTATGATTTTTTTTGGTAATGTGATAATGTGTTTGTTGCAAGTGGGAGGAATTTGCCGAACTTGTATTGAAGACAAAATCGTGTAGGAAGCTCCACACCAAGCTTGTATTAAAGAATCAGTATTAAAGAATCACACCACCATTAGGAAAAGATCCACTTCGGTGGATCCCAATCCAAGTCTGTATTGATACACACGATATTAGTCCACAAAGAACTTAATTAGAACTTGAAGTGATATGCACACGTTTCTCAAAGTCTGTGGCTATGGCCGCCAACAACAATAGGTAACTTTCTCTCTGTCTCTCACACTTCTATTCCTGCACCTTCAGCTCCTGTTGCATGCTGTGCCTGCAACAGGCTGCACGGGCCATTTTCAGGCCCGTGCCGCTTTCAGCCTGAAAGCCTGAAAACAAGGGCCTACAGACCCTGTGTTGTTTCAGCCTGAAAGCCTGAAAACAAGGGCCTACAGGCCCTGTGTCGTTTCAGTCTAAAACAGGGCCTTTCAGGCCCTGAGCCTTTTCAGCCTGAAACGGAGGGCCATTTTCAGGCCCTCATAAGATCGACCTGCCCTGAAACTTAGGCACCAGACCAGGGTTTTAGCACAGGCCATTTTGGGCCTGTTTTCAAGACAACCTTTGGTTGAACTTCAACGCCAGGGTCTGGCACGTTTTGGCATTGGCAAGAGCAGCCTCCTGGACGGGCTAGCACTATATAGGACTGGCCCGCCCTGCAGACTGCAGGTAGTTCATGGGGACTTCCCAGGCACTTCACGTGCAGTTCAGGAGGCAGGAGGTAGTCTTCAGGATTCGGCAACAGCACTCTGGAGAAGCGCTGCAGTAGTAGTAGTAGCGTTAGCAGTAGTCTTCAGCGCTGGGCGCTAGTAGGAGCTAGAGTGGTACTGGAGAGAGTGAGAGAGATTGGGCAGAGGCCAGGGAGACTTACCTGCAGCGCCATAGCTCCAGCTTCGTCTTCGAGGTACCTGCAGCACGGCGCCACCTTCAGACGTTAGTACCTGGCACATGAGAGAGGGAGAAATCTTCTTCTTCCTCTTCTCAGTCCACCATCTCCCTCTCACCCTCTCGCTACCTGATTTCACTGTATCAGAAGACTACGAGAGAGCGGGCTTGGTGACATTTGGATCCAGACCCGGCATTGGGCTTCAGACATTTGACGAGGGATTATCTGGGACTTGTAACGAAGACTTGGTGTTGACAAAATTCCCATCTTCCCCCTTCTTCGTCTGATCCCCTCCTCTTCGTCTGTGTATGGTCTGGACCTGGCGCATTCTTCCTGTGTGTAGCGCCAGGCCCCTTCACACCTTGTGATGAGGATGATGTATGTTTGGTCTGTATTGCGACATTGATTGGGTCTAGTCATTTGTATTCTAGCATTCTGCTGCGCTGTCTTGTACTACGTGAGAGAGGTTAGTCCCGGTCAGGTCAGGGCTTATATCTAAGTCTTCCCCTGCGCTGTTATGTGCCATTTTTGTATGTGTCAGTATGTACACTGCTTGTTGAGATTCCACAGCACTGCATTGTCCATACAGTCCTTTTCATCACATTGCAGATCCTTGGCTATATAGATGCATCGCCCAACTGGGCATGTATCAGCTACACACATGCACACCTTTGCATATAACTTGTGCAGTCTACCTTATCTGGTCTAATGACTCTAATGTACATACGAAGGGTTTGCTGCAACTTGTTTTCATCTGTTGTGTCTGGCTGTTGGTCTCAGGATGTCTACCAGATGACATGGCCAACTGTGGTTCATACGCTTTCATTGGTTGCTGCCAGTGCTCCCCTGTAAATCTAACATCTCCATTGGTAGCTATAGTTAAGGATGTACGTGAGCCTTGACCCATTGTGCGAAGAACTGAAGCATTACTAGGTCTGTCTTGGCCTTGGCTGGCAATGGAATGAATCAGGGTTGCATCCCCGCCAACCGGTCGGGCCGACCGCCGACCGTATTGTACCGACCGATCGGGGCCGACCGGTCGGCGGTAGCCGACGGCTCAGAAATCAGTCTTCCTCTGATTGTTTTTTTGTTCTGACTTCGGGTCTGTATTGCGCCTGCTGAGTACAGCCCGAATCCGCTGAGAAACTTTGGTTTCGGGGTGGGGGGGTTGGGGTTGGAGCATACCTGCAGCTCGGATTAAAAAAAGAAAAAAAGAAAAAAGAACCGGCTGTTACGTGTGAGAACACGCAAGAGAGAGAGAGAGAGAGAGAGAGAGAGAGAGAGAGAGAGAGAGAGAGAGAGAGAGAGAGAGGAAACAAATAGCTCCTTAACATTTATTTCAAAACCCCTGGGGGTCATTTGAAAGGCCCTTGCACATAATTAGCAAGGGCTAYMTCACCGTGAGCGAGGTACTGCTCATTGCAGAGTCATGSCACGCCAAGTATATATGCTGTTGATTCACATTAAGGTCYGTGTTTCAGGAGTTATGGRACCACTGAGCACGCGAGTTTCTGGGCAGTAGAAGGCCAACTCACCACGTGCTTTCCAGGGCTTCCCTCCACTACTCACCAAATGTGCAAAACTAGAATGAATCTTCTGCTAAAACATGGAACCATACGCCGCCATATGATTTGTCTTTTGTGCAAGTCGTGACGAGTGGAGCAAGGCCCTTAGGGCCACTGCTTGTAGGAAAAGGAAACAAAAGAAAGAGGAATGAATCTTCTGCTAGAACATGGACTCATGCGCCGCCATATGTTTTGTCTTTTGTGCAAGTAGTGACGAGTGGAGCAAGGCCCTTAGGGCCACTGCTCGTAGGAAAACGAAACAAAAGAAAGAGAGAGCTACGGTAGTAAGTAGTTGTAACGTGTAACCCATAACTGCTGGAAAGCAGACCTGACTTCGGATCCAGAACATATATTGCTGGCCTGCTCCATTCTCACATGAAATTTGCTGAACGTCTCTTGAGACGGTGGGACCTTTGCAGATGCACTGGGGTCCTTCGGGAAAAGGACAATTCAACAAGGAAAACGTGTGCTCATTTTTTTTTCTGTTCCCTTCGACATTTTAGAAGGGAGGGGCACCATTCACTACCTCAGCCTGCCCTCTCCAAGTTTTTTTTTACTCTATTTATTGGGGTGTGCGCGCATGGTTGCACGTGCACTAGGCGCCACACGTGCGTAGCTCGCCCGCATGCGATGCGCCGGAGTATAGGGGTGATATAGGGGGTTATGGATAGTTTAATAATGGTGTTGGCGGCTGTTCGGGGCTGTTGGGGTGGTATATGGGGTATTGGGGCCCGCTATGGGGGTGTTGGTGATATTAATAGGGGTTCTGGACCCCATAAAAAGAAAAAAAAATGCGGGGTGCCGACGACCCCCAACCAGTAGGTGCCGACCAGCCGACCGGTCGGCAGGTCGACAGCCGACTAGTCAAGGGGCGCCGACGGTCGGGGTGTGCAACCCTGGAATAAATACTAAATTTGCATATTTGTTCAAACGGTCTAGTATGACCATGACTTAAGTGTTCCCATTTCTACTTTTAACCTTAGTATCCATGGACTTGGATACGGACTCTCCAGGTCCTGAGGGAATAGGTAGTGGTCTCAGCAGTCAGAGCAGAGTGCTCGTCGTACTCTTGTTCCTTTGACATGCCTTACACTCCTGTACATAGATTATAGTGTTCTTTGCCTGATTGAAAACGAATCCAGCATGACGTTCACACGTTCCCATACACATGCGCAATAACAAGCAGACTTGGAGAGAGCAATCCAGACCGAACCAAGTGATGAGAATACACAGCGGAATCAGTCAAAGCATGAATAGAATTGAATTTAATTCAATGCTGATTATACCGTCCCTCCCCTTTCCAATCAGCAGCATGGATTCCAAGGATCTCAACCGTGTTACAACACCCACGAAACAATTGTTTACAAAGTTTCATAGAGTATATGGGAGCCGTCTTCTTCCTCCGTCTATACCCAAGCTCTAGCCTATGGCGCTACATCCACTTTAGCGCCCAACCAGTCAAGCCTGTAATTGCCACACAAATCTCCTGCGTTCAACAGCATAACTTGCGGAACTCCAAACCCAGCCACAGACGATATGTCCCCCCAGCAGGGGCCGCAGCTCGCAGGAGGAAGAATGAGAACGCCAACACGGTGAAGATGGAGACCTGTCACTCTCGAGGAATATCTCATCGAAGAACTGCTTCGAAGGCAGCTGAAGTAACCCCAACGACATACTTGAAGGGAGGCGCCAACCAGCGCGTGGGACCTGAGACCCGGCAAGGCACGGCTATGGCTGCCAGCTATCTTGGGAGAAGAGCTGCTCAGCGCTGTTGAAAAAAGCGCAGCAGCACGAAAGCGGTCTCCAACAGTGAGTGAAAAAAAATGATGAAACAGAACCCGTAAAAATTATGTCCCCTCGTTTTTCTACCCTGCCACCTACGACTGTTCAAAACGACAGACTCACGGACTCTACCTACAGCCTCATTGAATGTAGACTGGAAAGCAGGAAAAAGGGAAAAAAAACAACCGGTAGGGCCTGTAGTTATTTTTTAAGGGAAAAGTCTCGATGGGACAGGTCCAGGGATCAAGCCCCGGCCTTAGTGTACAGCTCACTTTGAAACTGCAATTCATTGCACTCTTACACCCCGGGGAGTGAGGACCCCGAGCTAAGAATGTCCACAAGGTGACCGTCTGAGCAGTTGCCCTTCTTGTTCAGCCTCATATAACCGCACTATCGAATTTGTAGACTGAAGAAGTCATTTTCTTGTGTACCACCTGCCCTCAGTGTGAGGTTGAAATAAGAACTTCACAAGATACTCACAATTGGGGCCTGTGCCCCACCGATCTTCAATGCTCTTCACTTGATACCCCTGTCCACGGAAAGGAGGTCCAAACTGTTTGTCAGGAAATGCATCAGCAGGAGTGAAAGGCAGCAACTTTGAGGCATGGAAGATTGGATAG